GAGAGAGTGTTCTTCATTTGTCTAGAGAGTTGGGATTCCTAACTGGATATGAATCAAAGGTGAGGATTTTTTTGACAAAATTACACAGACTATTAAACCTAAATGTAGGAGGCATTGGTGTGTTTTTTTCAGTTATTTTGTATACTATATCTTTTGTGTTGCTATCTTTGTGTGTTCTTTGTTACAGGCCATGGAGAAATCTCATGTGGAAGCGGTATTAATTCTTGGGGAACCCTTCAGCAAACACGAACCTTTTAATTTTTCCACTCAAGACACAACACGGCGAATACACAATCTGATACCAACCATGCTCAAACACCGCCTCACGGCGCCACCGGAAGAAAGCTATTCCCTCCATCGGAAGTTATCAGGATCGTTTCTTTTGTGTTCTAAACTCGGTGCGAACTTTGAGTGTAAGGATTTGTTCGATGACATATGGGAAAACTATACCTGTAGTGAATAAAAGATTTACTTTAATTTGAAGAGCAGCGCTTGGCATGAAACTGGTTATGGTGTTTAATATGCAGGATTGAAACATGTATGAATATATCATTGCCATATTATTAACTATATATCCATACAGTCACTCCTTGATGCTAACAACGCATTTATTTATTAGAGAATTCCAATCAGGTGGTACTTTGGGAGAATATAGTGTTTTGCATAAACAATTACTGGTTTTGATGATAATGATTGCATGTAAACATTTTTTATCAAACTCCTGACTAAGCACATTATATGAAGTAGTTCAGATAGCAATCTATTGGAGGCCATTGTTGGTCAAAGACCGAGGTAATCTCTGTTGTCCATTTACAAAAGGCATGCAAGGTAAATATGTCCAGACATTAAGAGTAAACAGTGATGGCAGCTTTTGTATTTATTTGATTTTGATATTCTGGAATGTGAAATTATTTTTCCAATTTTTTGTTTTTTCCGTAAGCATTGATAAAACTGAATTTTTACAGGAACCATGGTATCATTTTGCTATCATAATCAATGTATCGTAATGTACATGGTTTTTGTTTGCGATTCTGCGCAGTCATTGAACATGTTTGACTGCCACTAGTTATCAGTGCTGAGTAAACGAGTTGACAACAACATATTCAGAATGCCATGTAGGGCTGTGAGATTAATAGTCCTACTTAAGTGTTATTATTCAACTTTAATACAAGCATAGTTTGAAATAAAGGAATGTTCAATATATCTTCTGGAATAAAGCTTTTTCTAAAAATTTAAAATTTGTCAGAGTTGTCAGTTTTTGGGGAATTCATGTACATGTGAGTAGGAGTGACAATATAATGTGATTTCCATCTAGTGACTTTATTCAGAAAAACTGGTGTGTTCAATGTTTTTTTGATGAAATGATTCTGGTAAAGACAAGATATGCAAAATTACATGCTGATTTCAAATTGAGACATGTACTTCTGTTAGATATTTTCAGTTCAAGTGTCTGTAAACCACAGTCTTCCAGTCACAACTGTGACCTCTCCCACTCATCCTGAAACATGTAGTGTTGCTATCATTGCATTTCTTGTATTATAGTAATAACTGCACAGCTCATTCCCAGGGACAATGGTATGGAACACAAAACTGTGAACAAAAGTACATAAAGTGAAGAATCGCAACAACTCGAATCGTTCAACTATTTCTTAAAATCGAACATATGTTTGATGCAAACAAATCAGTTACAAAGTAGATCATAAAAACTTATATACACTTGTACAATGCTTGCCTCTAAGAGCATTGGTGCCACTGGAAAATATGAGAAAATTAAAAATCGCAACTTTCTTATGAATAAACTTTACAGATATCCTTTCATTTCATCTGGAAGAATTAAGTCTAATGCAACCAATGTGACAGTGTTAACTTATGTTGGGATCTTGGTGTTTGTCCATAGACAACTCCCACAAAGAAAAGTGCTGAGATACTGCATGGTTGGTAGCCTGACAAGGTTGCATGTCAGTGGCGGCGGCACAGGGGGTCGAGGGGGTGGTCGCCCTGTCGAAAATCAAGCGGAAACACTTTGTGTTAGCAAAATTTGCCCCTCAAAATGCAGGAAATGGCGTTTCAGAGGTTCTAGATTTCAAAATTTTTAAGGGGGGGCATGCCTCCAGCAGATGAGCACATCTCACCCCGCTATGCAAAATTTCGTGCTGCCGCCTCTGGTGTGTTGCACCCTCCGTGGTACTCCAAACCTTTCAACCAGCGAGGGCCTACTCACGCCTACATGTCAGAGTTAAATGGTTGGATTCTTGAATAAAAATGATGTAATTATGTAGAAGACTTAACCTAAATTCAGTTTGAGTAACATGTCCTCTTATTCCCGGAGACAGCTTATGGGATTGTATATTGATTTATTATAAACGTATATACCGTATACATATAATGAGTTCATTCTTCAAAATCCTCCATTGTCGTCCGATCAACACAAGTAAGCCGCAACCAAGATCCAAACAGAAGATACGCCTAGTATGTTCACATTACAATGTATATGTGAGGTCTGGGGTATTTAATGCTGTGTCAGTTCATGAATCAAATAGAATCTCATCAATATGTTTCGAACCTGACTACATTGACCTACGGTTTAGTGTCACATGCTCAGAGTTGCACACCCCTGTCCCCGAACGACCAACAAATACACCCCATCAAATAGAATTTTGTGTTGGCACCTCAGCTATGACCTGCTATCTTCCTTATATTACCAAACTCTACAGAGACCTAGCGTTAGAAATCTCCACGTTATCCGCAATCTATGTCGTAACGATGTCAAGATGATTTGGTCCAGGATGCAATTGTATCTCCAATTTACCGGCAATTTATTTGTGTAATTTAAATAAAATTCGATATAAAAAAATCATTCCTACGTGTGGAAATTTGTTTCGCAAGATTCTCGTCCAGTCCAGATATAGAAATAATGTGCGTGGATCTCTCCCGGGGATCTCTATCTCGACTATATACCGAAACTCAATTTGAAGTAGAATACATGTTCAGGATTTTTTAAAGTAATTTTTAAACAAAATTTTAAAAAAAATCTTATCACATTCTTTTGACTGCTCAATACACAGTACGTGCATGTTACTGCTATCCGATTGACGGGCTGATACGAAGTACATTCCAGAGTATGTTTACTCAGAAGGAAGAGATCGACTCGTGACCACTCCACAATAGTGATAATAATTCACTTACGTGAACTGGGTCATAAACTCGAGGGGAACCATATATCATTGTGTATATTTACACATGGTACACCAACAATGAAAACAGAACCCCGCCTCTCTCCCACTGAGACAAGTGTTCTAATCGCATCGCCGCGATCTATAAATAAAAAAACACAAAAAACCTTGGTTTAGGCTCAGACCATTATAGATATAGTCTGATATTCAGGCATGGCAGGTCTAGGAAGACATGGCATGATATAATTTAGGGGGAACCGGTAATATTTCTGACCCTCTCTTTGAATTGTCAATGGCAACATGTATGTTCTCAATTTCTCTGAAAATCAGTTTATTTTGAGACTCCATGTCAGGAAGAAAATATGCTACTGAAACAGGGTGCTCTAAAGAAATTTCAAAAGAGCATATTTATTTTTTTGCATACCACCCAGAAAATCAGCCCAATTTTATGAAAAATTAGCATATAACATGTACAACAAAAAAGCAGTAAAGAATGAAGGATTTTTATTCTTTAATTAAAATTTACATTATAGAAAAACATACCTGTTATTAAGGTAAATTTTATTTGTATAACAAGCAGAAAAGCAGAAACCCAAATTATACAGCAGTCATTTTCAGCAAAATTAGCTGAATATTGAGACATCAGAAAAATAAAAGAAAACACAAGCACTCTAAACAGAGTGGTCTCCATCTTTTTGGTAGAATGGTAGTGATCAAATAATTTAACATTTCAGATGATTTTAATTTGTCTATAAAATAGTGATTAAAATACAAATTAAAGTACAATGAAAACTTCATATATTTTCAGAATTACAACTGTAGATGAATTGAATATAAAGAAGTTGTTTTATCAAAAGTTGCAATTTATAGACATTCTTTGGGTGGAATGAACACTTCTGGGTCGTGGATGCCAGCAACAACATCAAAGAAGCTGAAAAAATAAGAATCATATGTTAACAGTAATTGTGCAATTGGAAGACAGCAAACAGTATTATGGTATGACCTTGTGATGACAAATTTGTAACAAATTAGAGTGCATGGTGACCACCTGTTGTTTTGTTATGGTGGTCGAAGTTGCAGTGGTGTTACCGTAGTAACAAGAAGGGTGATGGTGAAAGTGGGTGTAGTGATAGTGATGTTTGTGATGATGGGTGTGGTGTAATGATGATTATGAGAGATGTGCTGTTGTTAATGCTGGTTTGGTGCTGTGGGTATCAGTGGTGTTGTTGTTATCGTGATTTTGGTGATGGTGGGTATGTTGATTAATAATGGGAGTGGTGATGATGATGATTCCAACATTTCTGATAGTCAATTCCTTGGAATTACTTTTCAGAATGTTGGATAATCAGGTGATATCGTAGCACACTGTAATCTAGAAAACTAAAACATGTATTTGTTCAAATGAGTAATATTTCAATTTATCACTCTTTAGCTACATCCAAGTCTATTCACTGCATCTTATCGTTGCATAAGCATGTTCCACTGACCTTGTTGAAATGAATCCAGTATGTTCACTGAAATATGAATCGTGAACAGGGATACAACCTCTAACCGTCCAAGTACCAGCATAGCGGGCTGCAAATAGAAAACAGACATTCAGAACCAATGTTATAGTCGTCTTTTTTTTTCAGTTCTGTTAAATGTATATTTTTTTATATCTACATAATCGGACAGCACATACGCGTAAACATTATGATTTCTACTCACAGCCTTCAGAAGTAGTGCCGCCCCACAACTGTACAGTAACACCTTCACCCGGTGCAGATAAACTTCCAATGATTGTTTCACCATAGAATGTAGCATTTTCCGGGATACCAATATAGTGGAAAGGTCTGGTCAGCTCTTTGGAGGTACATTTTCCAGTTTTAAGGTTCAGGTTATATTCTTTACGCTAAAACAAAGAATAATATTTGTTTTGTGTTAGACTGATTATAAATTTACATAAGTATTACATTCAGTTTGAACGAAAGAGTTGGTTTTGCACGCGATAAAATCGCTTGAAATACACCCCAACTAATGGTCACGAACAAAATGTATATAGAAGATAATATTTGGTAATCGTAGTCCTAAATAACTATTAAAAATAGCTAGACGTTTCGAGCAATGGCTCTTTATCGATAGCATAGAAGAAAATATTTATAAACTACTACTCAAAATGTTCACAGATCTGTTCACAGAGGGCGCCCTTCGAGTGACATGACATAATCACGGTATTTACCTCTTTATGCAAGAACAGTGAGGAGTAGAACTCTTTCTTGTCATTTAAGTTGACTTCCTCTATCGAATGGAATCGTTCATTATATGCATCGTATGCAACCCTTGCTCTCGTCTCGAACTTTTTAGAGGGGTCAATCTGAAAACAAGAAAACGAGAAGTGAAAAATAGTGCTTGTCACTAGTACGAGTAGTCGGTGACAGCATGGATGTACATCCATGGTGACAGGCAGTGCTTAGGTTAATCGATAGCGAGTCTCGAGTAGCACTTACCTCAACAATCTTTCCTTCCCAGAGAGGTGGTGCAACTAGAATACAAACAAACATTAACTATGACTCCTGTGGTGAACTCGTGATGTTCCAACGTGATTGTGCCCGCCCCGCCCCCTTTCGTCAACCATTGAACCATGGAGCTCCATGATTGAACTTAAATCGATGACAAAGCAGAATCGCCAACACAAATGTGAAATGCAGTCTTGAAATATCAGTCAAAGCTATGTGCAGCGATCGAACCGCACCGTGCCTTGGGATCAGTGTTTTGGGGAACAAAAGTAATTAAAGATAGAACCAAAATTTAGGAGTATGATAAAAAAAAAATATATAAGCAACGACTTACGACATGGTCTTGGTACTTGTCCGTACACAACTCCGACAACACACAATAATGCAAGAACCAACTTCATTGCTGTGTATTGAATGGCGACTCAGGTAAAGACAGATTCGATAAAACTAGGAATGAATGCTGCGAATATGCTCGGAGAGTTCAAGAGAGCGATCTCACTGTAATCGGCCCGTTTTATACTGGCCAAATCATGTGATGAGATCACGTGACCCAGTTCGTGAACCCTCGCTAAATCTTCTATCTGTGATAGAGGGACTGTGTAAAACTAATCTGTTTGTATCATTGTATTCAATCGGGAAAAGAGAAGACATGTCTAACATTTATTAAAATCTTTATTAACTATTAAACTCAATTGATTACGAAACATGTAGAAACAGGAATATTTGAATTTGAAATTCATATCCAGGCCCGGTCATGTGGTGTGTCTTTCCATTTACCTCAGCCACAGGGGCTTGTCAACTGACGGCAAATCCCCCAGTGCGAGCACGAAGTGCAAGAAGGGAGAGCATTCCTCAGCCCCAATGAGCTCACAGCTAAAGTTTATCTGAATTTTAGGCAGTGATACACATTTTAACTTTGAATAAATCTCTCACAAACTGAATAAAGTATATTGTTGATACATTGAAACCACAACCACAATCAAATCACGCAAATATTAACTATTTTCTGGCTTGGGAAAACGTTTGAAGGGTTTCCTCTGTACGTCAGAGGCCCGGGTCAGAGGTCATCACAGGCGGAACCTTCAAACAGCACACCTTTCCTTTTTCCTTCTGTCTAGTGGTGAAGTGCTTGAATAACAGTTTGACCAGAAACTGTTTTTGTTGCGTACTATTGGTCTATACCACACACACATGCAATTACATATTCTTAATATATTAGTACTACAATGTCATACTGTTGCTAGTTGTCATCACAGTCACTTGGGGGCTGAAAATCAATAAATACTAATTTTCAAAAAAAAAATCATCCGCTATACGTATCCTCGGGGCGGACATCCGGGCATTTTCTACCGCCTGGCAACCTTCACGGTGAAAACAAAGACCAACAACTCACAAGAAAACGGTACTTTGCGATGGTTGTTGAGAGTGCCCTGAACAGTGTAACAAGATTAGCCCTACGTGTGTAACATATATGAATTTGGTTGTTCAGGATTACTTCAAAGTTGAGTTTGTGTTGTTTTCTCGAGTTTTCACCGGCTCCACAGGCGTTCCACAGCAGCGCGCACAAAGCCCATAGAAACACGTGGTACAGCGGTGCGCGTCTTAGCAACGTAGAACGTCTGTGACGTGGCTCCGCCCCCGAGGATATAAATAAACAAGTTGTGAAACACGGCACGTAGTAAATCGACACCCTGTCGGTTTCAAATGTCGATTTCTTACCTTAAAATGCGAAACAAAAATTTTAGAGGGGATCAGGTGTTACGTTAATAACCATTGTTCATAATCGCTAACTTGGTTTTATTCAAAACTGCACAAATCGCACAGAGTTCTGGGTAAATCAAGTGCGCATACTCATTTTCAGCCAATCAGGCGTGCCGTAACAGCGAGTATTTCTATTTCTTACACAAGATACCAGCCGATAACCCACCCCCCCCCCGCTCATAGAGACTGCGTATTACAGTTGATTATAGTTCCTGGGCTCCCTGTGGTAACACCTGATCCCCTCTAAAATTTTTGTTTCGCATTTTAAGGTAAGAAATCGACATTTGAAACCGACAGGGTGTCGATTTACTAGGTGCCGTGTTTCACAACTTGTTTATTTATATACGTATAGCGGATGATTTTTTTTTTTTGAAAATTAGTATTTATTGATTTTCAGCCCCCAAGTGACTGTGGTTGTCATATACTTGGACTTTCGAAACACTCACAACATAATATACCTTTTTACCAAACGCTTCAGCGTGGTATTAAGAGTTTGTTTTCAGGGGTGGGTGATACCAAGGTGGGAAATGGATGCACATATGGGGTTAATTCCTTGAATTGCAATATAGAGGGTTCAGGCTGAAATACAATATATAGTGTTTTCATGTTTCGTCTGATATTTCTGTGGTATTCTGCTGCTGTAAGTAATGCACGATTTGTTCCGAAATTCAGTATATTGTGTGTATTCCAGGGTTATTCGTTTTTTGCTGAAAACACCCCTATTTTTTAGTGGCAGAGTCGAATAGTCTCACTCCCACTGGGAAATCTGCATTGTTGCTTGAATGTGAGTTAATAAACACA